TCAGGAGAGTTACAGTATTGCGGCAGTGAGAGATCCACCTGTGTTAGAGACAGATCCGGGTCGCTAAAGAAAACAACATATGATCAGACAATCCTGCATTTCAGCTGCTTATGCATGGATGAGGTGATCGCTGCTGATTGGCTGCACTCACTGTCACATGATCTCTTCCCAGAAATGTATCCGGAGATCTGACGGGGATTTTGGCCTTCCGTTTCCATGGCGATCTGGAGCTGCCCGCGGGATAACCAGAAGAGTTCCCGACTGTTCAGATCCGCTAGGACTTCAGCCAGGTCAGAGTCCTACACACACACACACACACACACACACACACGTGTCCTTAATATTCATCGCTGAACTTTAACCGAGTATTTTCTCTATGTTATCAAAGGTGAATGATGTTTTCTTTTCATTCTAATTAACTGAATATAAAAGCATTGTAAATAAATGGCTTGTTCTCCTTTAGATCAGTGTGTGTGTGTGTGTGAGTGTGTGTGTGTGTGTGTGTGTGTGTGTGTGTGTGTGTGTGTGTGTGTGTGTGTGTGTGTGTGTGTGTTTTCACTCACGTCTGTAGAGATGTTTGCTCGTATTTCTCTCAGCACATGTTGTCGGTACAGCAGTTTCACTCTCACCGGCATCTGTGCGGAGGCTGAAACAATGTGAAATACAGTTTTTATTCAATTACAATTTTTTAATATTTCTTTAATTTATATTATTATATTATATATTCTGAAATTTACTTTCTTTTATTTTATTTTGTTATTTTTCTTTTATTTTCGGCTTTATTTAAAGATTTTTGTTTTATTATTTTTATTTTTATATAAATTATTTTATGGTATTTTATTTTATTATTTTATTTTTAATTATGTATTATTATTTTTTGTTTTATTTATTATTATTTATATTATTTTATTTTTATTTTATTTTTATTTTGCTTTATTTTATTTTTGTTTTTTTTATTTTGTTTTTTTTATTTTATGCTTTATCTGTTTATTTATTTATTTTTATTTTGCTATTTTTTATTTTATTTTATTATTATTATTATTATTTTTCAAGTCTAATTTAATTTATTTTATATTTTATTTTAATTATTTTATTTCTATTTTATTTTATGCTTTATTTTTATTTTATTTATTTTTTTTTTATATTTATTTTGTTACTTTATTATATTATTTCCTCTATGTGTACTTACAGCTCCCGTGAGAAACGAGTCCCTGCTGAATCAGGATAAAATGCAGATTGTTCTCGGTGTCACTGAGCGTCAACATGGCGATTCCGCCCATCCCAGAATGCACCTCTTCAGACGTCAGGATCGCACTGAACGTTTCTGTCACACAAACCGAACGTAAATGAACGTAAGCATCCAAAAACACATCAGAAAGGTCGTGTCTGAAGCGAATCTAAACATCAGACACACACAGTTAAACATCACACACACACACACAGTTAAACATCACACACACACAGTTAAACATCACACACACACACACACACAGTTAAACATCACACACACACACAGTTAAACATCACACACACACACACACAGTTAAACATCACACACACACACAGTTAAACATCACACACACACACAGTTAAACATCACACACACACACACACACACACACACACAGTTAAACATCACACACACACACACACACACAGTTAAACATCACACACACACACACACAGTTAAACATCACACACACACACACACACACACACAGTTAAACATCACACACACACATACACAGTTAAACATCACACACACACACACACACACACACACAGTTAAACATCACACACACACACACAGTTAAACATCACACACACACACAGTTAAACATCACAAACACACATACACAGTTAAACATCACACACACACACACACAGTTAAACATCACACACACACACACACACACACACACACACACACACACACACACAGTTAAATATCACACACACACACACACACACACAGTTAAACATCACACACACACACACACACACACACACAGTTAAACATCACACACACACACAGTTAAACATCACACACACACACACACACACAGTTAAACATCACACACACACACACACACACACACACAGTTAAACATCTCACACAGTTAAACATCACACACACACACAAACACACAGTTAAACATCACACACACACACACACACACACACACACACACACACACACACACACAGTTAAACATCATACACACACACACACACACACACAGTTAAACATCACAAACACACATACACAGTTAAACATCACACACACACACACACAGTTAAACATCATACACACACACACACACACACAGTTAAACATCACACACACCTGCAAACAGTGCTCTGTGTTTGATGATTTTTCCCCGTAGCTCCTCCTTCTTGTCAGTGGTTGTCATGGAAACACGCAGTTGCTCCGCCTCCAGCTGTCGAATCTGAGACTTCGGGAGATTCTTCCAAACTCCACAGATCTGCACATCACACA